GCCCCTCCCCATGCCCCTCCCGCCGTCATTGTGCCACCAAGAGCAAGTAACTGGGCGTCGAGAGCGTCCAACGCGCAACGTTGTTCAGAGCCAATAAAACCCAAATTGGATTTCTCTTGTATCTAGCTGTACTCACAGTTTGTTCCGTTTCTAAAAGAGCCATCGATAAATGATGACTCGAAGATGCGGACACGAAGTGACCAAATTGGCAGATTTTTCTCCCTTGCGGTCGGCCGTATTCAATATTTAATACTAGAAGTACGGTACGCGTCAGGTCAACCGTGACCGGAAATATCTTAAATTATTACCCACAGCTCTCGCCCACTTCATGGACATCAAAGCGCTGGAGAAATTGACAATTATCAGCTGGTGTCGACGTCCGTGCCTCGAGAAATCTCCACTCTCATAACTCTAAAAGAGTTGACGCACGACCTTGGAAAATCAGGACAAATGGTCCAGACTCTGGGCATTGGTTGCCATCTCGCCACCTCGCGTGCTAGACAGGGATTTCTGTCTTGCTTGCCTTGCAGGGTCTGGGTAGTCCCGTTGATCTCCCTGCATAACTTGAATCAGTCTATCTGCCCTTGTCGTAGTTATTCGATGTAATGCGTTTGATTGGAAGGCCCAAGCTGACATTCCCTATACGGGACTCGGGTAGTGGTTCTTGCAAAGTTCGGAGACAAGAGAATATGTCGAAATTGAAATGCTTGCTATTTCATTTTCCTTTCTAGTTTCACTAACATTTCCTTTTTTTATTTTTTTTATTTTTCATTGTTTGGATTTCTAGTGTGAATTTGTCATGCATCAATTTGCAGCCGTTGAGTGAAACAAATGATTGGAATTCGAGACACAAATATGCAAAGTAACAGCAGATCAATCGGGAAGTTTAATTGCCACTAATAAGACATACCACTATAGACTAGACGGCGTAAAAAAAAAGTTCCTAGCTATTACATTACTCGTATACGCCAGCGTTATATCGTAATTGTCAAGAAAACTAATCACAGTCATCTTCATCAATTTTAAAATGAGAAACTCCTTTCAACGGCTCTAGGTGTGGAGATTTCCTTTCCTGCCACATGAAACTGCCTTTACCGCTGGTTCAGTTTCATCTTCAGCCCCATCTTTAGCATATTCCACATCAATGCTTCCTTGGGGTCATTTCGCTTGCCCAATATTGAGCCAATATCTGTCGACTTTCCGGGGGCCTTTGTCGTGTTCCAATGGTCGACAATGTTCTGGATGAATGTGTTGTTGTTAAAAGTGTCGCCGAGGGCATCAATGATGTTGCCGCCCCCTCCGCCGATTATGCCACTCAATACATCGCTCAAAAGTGTAATGACGGATATTGAAGTGGTCAGGCGACGGCTTGCGAGAAGGTTTTCAATAAAGGTAATGTGAACGCCGTTCATGACGGTCTGGTTGCCAGTGACATTCAGGTCAATTTGACCTCTGTTGAGTGCGTTGCTCTGGCTGGCGAGGACGGGTCCAATATTTTTGATCAAGGTATCGAGATAAAGCTGCCCGTCAAAGTTCAGGGTGTTGTTGCCCACGTTTAGAAGCGCATCATATAATGTGATTTGACCGATCCTGATGTCGCCTGATAATATGTTGAAGGTCAAATTGCCGAAATTCAAGACCAATACACCGTGATTGGGAACGTTGATGGTGCCTTTGATGTTTTTGCCATTCTTGTCCGGGGGTAGCATGACCTTCAAATCCTTGATACCCAGGCCAGAGAGCTGTTGCAAGCCAGGCAACTGGACGGTCGTATCAAGACGTGTGTCCGTCTTCAGAGCGCCAAGGTAGATTGTGGGACTCCCACGAACAGATAAATCCACCTTGTCTTGGTCGAAGACATGGCCAAGCCAGCCCAGGAGCTCGCTTTGGTTGGTGATGGTTACAATTTGCTCCTTGATGGCGATTTTGGTATTGCCGTTGAGCTTTTGCCCGCCGACAGTAAGGTTGGCAAAAGGCGAATATGGCTTGATGTCTCTGTTGTATAAGTAAAGTGTCAAGTCTGTGATCCTTGCGGGCAGTGGTGTGTTGAGAGAGGTGTTGAGAGCTAGCTTCATTTCCGTGCCTGATACGACATCAAGTCGGCCGCTCAAGATTGGTAAACTTTGACCCTTGACAATAGCCTGTACGATGGCAGGAATGATGACTTTGAAACTGGGATATTGTGGTTAGTTTTGAGTCCAATCTCGGAGGGGAAATCTGATTGAGCATACAGAATCGGCAACAGAATGGCGAGGAATATAATGGAGGCTATGAGATACCACAGCCAGAATCTGCCACAATGCCGCCGTACTTTTTGACGCTTTGTTAGAGGAGGACCGGCCGCTTTCTCTGCAACGTTGCCCGTTGAGGATGCATTGTCGCTCTGCGCATCAACGCCGTTCTCTGCCTCTCCTCTGGCGCCTCTGGCTGTAGGCGGCGGCACTTCAGGCTCGCGATGCGATGTGTCTGGTGAGGTCATTTGCGCCATCTTTTCGAGACCAAGTCACGACACAAGATCATGGAGCCTGCGAGGAAGAAAACCTGGGGAAAGGCGAGATCAAAAGACCCAGATGCCAGACTACCGGACCAAGGCTACCGGGGGGAGGGTTGTCACGGACAGTCAAGTTAACGGTTGGAGAAAGAGATGACGTGCCAGTTGTTCATAATTCAGCCCGCAAACGCTTTTAACGGCTCCATCTGGGTAAGGCTTTTTGCTTCATTCACGCACTAAACAGGCACATGTCTCATAGATCAGCGCCTTTTGCCGAGCTACCCCTCATATTAAACCTTGAGAAGAGATTGACAAATTGACTCGAGTGTATTGCTCTCCACAGACGACCGGGTTTTCCGTGATGTGGAGAAGTGTTAGCTATTCCTGGAAATGATAGACCACTTTGCATGGGCCGCTGCGCTCAGGTCGTGACCAGGTCGCCATCTCCACTCGAATAGTTTGGTTCTCCAAGCCCGAAACAGAAATTGCTGCGAGTATAGTTCCATTGGCAATGGACCATGGCCGTGCGCGGCGGTACGAGCTGCAGAATACTAGAGTACTGGCAGGCTGGGGAAACTGGGGAAGTTGGGGAAAGTTGCGTCTACAAAACCTTCTAAAACAAGATACAAAAACTTGCCCGTTCTGATGGGCGGCGTTTCCCGAGGCTTTTCGCGAGTTGAGCTGGACCTCTTGGTACTCCTCATGTGAAAGAAAGCTCGCAGAGAAGACCATTGGAGAACCCATATTGGTACGTCTTCCCCAGACACTCTTGTCCTTGTTCTTCTTCTCATCGCCCTCCTTTTGGCGTAATGCATCAAGTTGGGCTCACTGTTCCCTTTCAACGTCTACAGAACCCAACTCAAGGTAAAAGAGAGCCATCACGATGAGGTTCTCATCGCTCTTTGTGGCGGCTCTTGTCCCCCTCGGTGTCGTCGCCGAAGGCGTTTCTGGAACGTTGTCGCCGCAAGAACTAAATCTCGATGAGATTTTGGCAAAACACAACCTTGCATTAGTGCCTCGATCAGATCTCACAGAGGCCCTCACAGAACTCAATGGCCTGCTCAAGAAGAACCACGCCTTGCAACAACGAGCTGCATTGTTTCCCAGAGCAAACTCGACGGGTTCAGGATCCAGTTCTGGCTCCAGCTCTAGCGGCGCACAAGCTGCTGGCTTATTGGGAGGACTAGGAGACCTCAGCGGTCTCAGCGGTCTACTCGACATCGTCCCGGCCGTCAAGAACATTGCCGACTTACTCAAATCGATCGAGTCTCTGCTCACCCCGGAATTCCTCTCAGCACTTCATGATGCCATGATTTATCTAGCAGCGACGCTTAAGCCACCAGTTCCTAGCCAGGTCGGACAGCTTCTCAACAGTACCATACCTCTTGTGCAATTGCTCGGCAAGCTAGACCTTGAAAAGCTGGTTGGACAAATTGGCGATATTGATCTCGGCAGTCTTGTCAAATCGATTCTGGGACTTTTGACCGAGAAGAACATCGGAAACATCGGTACCTTGTTGACCAACGGCGCTTCTCTACTCACACCATCCTTTGTCAACCAGACACAGTCTCTTGTTGGCGAGGTGTCTCCCTTGCTAGATGCCCTGAAGGGTATTGATCTCAAGGGTGTTCTTGAACAACTGTCTCCGCTATTGACGTCTGATTCGATCAAGAAGGTCGTCTCGCTGGTGGATAGTGCTGGAACACTTCTGAACAACCAGACGACCTCGGACCTCAATGACATCCTCAAGTTTGCCCACAACTTTATCCCATATCTGAGCGCCATCAATCCCACAGAAATCTTGAAAGCGGTTGCTCCCTTGCTGGATAACTTGCCCGCTATTGTGAATGGCGCCGTCTCCCTGTTGAGCAATGAGACTGTGTCAGAGATCAAGACAGTGCTGGATGGAGCCAGCCCACTTATTGAGTCTTTGTCCAAGGCCGACTTGAAGAGTCTCATTGATCAGCTCGGCCCAATTCTCAAGGAGCTCGGAGGCCTTGACCTTGCCGGTCTCCTAAAGTCATTACAGCCACTGCTAAGCGACGACAGCATAAAGGGAATTGTTGGCTTGCTTGGCAACGCAGAGGATCTATTAACAAAGGACTTTGTGAATAACACGCAATCGCTTGTTGCCGGTGCCGGGCCCTTGCTCGGCAGTCTAAAGGATGTCGATATCAAGAGCCTGGTCGACCAACTTAGCCCCATCCTCAAAGAAGTGGCCAAGCTTGATCTCGTCGGCCTATTCGACGCACTCAAGCCACTCCTCTCGAGCGACAGCGTCAAGGGAATTGCTGGTCTTCTTGACAATGCAGAACTGTTGTTGACAAAGGACTTTGTGAGCGACACCCAGTCGCTGATTGCTGGCGCTGGTCCATTGCTTGGAAGTCTAAAGGATGTTGACATCAAGAGCTTGGTGGATCAAATCAGCCCAATCCTGAAGGAGGTCGCCAAGCTAGACTTGGTTGGTCTCTTTGACGCACTCAAGCCGCTTCTCTCGAGCGATAGCGTCAAGGGTATTGTCGGTCTTCTCGATAACGCAGAACTACTACTTACGAAGAACTTTGTGAACGATACTCAGTCGCTAGTTGCTGGTGCTGGTCCACTTCTTGGCAGTCTAAAGGACGTGGATATCAAGAGCTTGGTGGACCAAATCAGTCCTATATTGAAGGAGGTCGCTAAACTAGACCTGGTTGGCCTCTTTGACTCCCTCAAACCTCTATTATCAAGTGATAGCGTGAAAGGCATCGTTGGTCTTCTCGAAAACGCTGAAAACCTTCTGTCATCGAAATTCGTTAATGAAACACAAAGCCTCGTCTACAGCGCCGGACCCCTCGTTGGTAGCCTCGGCAAGCTCGATCTCCAGAAATTAATCGACCAGATTGAACCACTCCTCAGTGAGCTGACTAAGCTTGATCTTGCTGGTCTGCTCAAGTCCTTGGAGCCGCTGCTTACGCCGGATAGCATCAAGGGCATTGTTGGCCTTCTCGGTAACGCCGAAACTCTTCTGTCATCCAAGTTTGTTAATGAAACGCAAAGCCTTGTTTATGGCGCCGGACCTCTCGTTGGCAGTCTCGGCAAGCTTGATCTTCAAAAATTAATCGACCAGATAGAACCGCTCCTTGGCGAGCTAACTAAGCTTGATCTTGCCGGTCTGCTGAAGTCCCTGGAGCCCCTGCTTACTCCGGATAGTATCAAGGGTGTCGTTGGACTATTGAGCAACGCAGAAGATCTCTTGACGTCTAAATTCGTCAACGAAACCCAGAGCTTAATCTCTAGCGCTGGCCCTCTTATTGGCAGTCTCGGCAAGCTCGATCTTCAGAAATTGATCGATCAAATTGAGCCTCTTCTCAACGAGCTAACTAAGCTTGACCTAGCAGGCCTTCTCAAATCATTGGAGCCGTTGCTTACTCCAGATAGTATCAAGGGCATTGTTGGACTGCTAGGCAATGCTGAGCTGTTATTGACGGGCAAATTCGTCAATGAAACCCAGAGCCTAATTTCTTCTGCTGGTCCCCTTATCGGAAGCCTTGGCAATTTAGATCTACAGAAGCTGATTGATCAAATCGAGCCTCTTCTCAACGAATTAACTAAACTTGACTTAGCCGGCCTTCTCAAATCGCTGGAGCCATTACTTAGCCCAGACAGCGTCAAGGGCATTGTCGGGTTACTAGGTAATGCTGAAAAGCTACTTACAGGCGAGTTCGTGGACGAGACGAAGAACCTCATTTCTTCTGCTGGCCCTCTTATTGGAAGCCTTGGAAAGCTTGACCTAAAAAAGATAATCGATCAAATCGAACCTCTTCTAAATGAATTGACTAAGCTTGACCTAGCTGGCCTGCTCAAATCGCTAGAGCCACTACTTACTCCAGACAGTGTCAAGGGCATTGTCGGGTTACTGGGTAACGCTGAAAAGCTACTTACAGGCGAGTTCGTGGACGAGACGAAGAACCTCATTTCTTCTGCTGGCCCTCTTATTGGAAGCCTTGGAAAGCTTGACCTTCAGAAGTTAATCGATCAAATTGAGCCTCTTCTTAACGAATTGACCAAGCTTGACCTAGCTGGTCTCCTCAAAGCGCTCGAGCCGTTGCTCACTCCAGACAGTATCAAAGGAATCGTTGGCTTGCTTGGAAATGCAGAATTACTTCTAAATAGGAAGTTTGTGGAAGAGACTCAAAACCTGATCTCGAAAGCTGGCCCGTTGATCGACGCATTGGGCGAGTTGGATTTGCAGGACCTGCTTAAGCAACTAGCACCGATTTTGAACGCTTTGGGCCAGATCGACCTCCCCGGACTGTTCGAAGCTCTCAAGCCGTTATTGACTAAGCAGAGTGTTCAGGGCATTGTTGGATTGCTGGGTAATGCCGAGAAGCTCCTCACAGGGGAGTTTGTGGATGACACGCAAACTCTTATTAAAGGCGCAACACCATTAATCGCAGAGCTGAGCAAGCTCAACCTACAAGACTTGATTAAGCAGCTTGAGCCTCTGCTTAGTGCGCTCGGCCAAATCGACCTTGCGGGCTTGATGAAGGCCCTCAAGCCACTGTTGACTGAAAATAGCATCAACGGAATCGTCGGGCTGCTGGGTAATGCCGAGAAGCTGCTTACAGGCGAGTTTGTGGATGAGACCCAAAGTCTAATCAAGGGTGCCGCTCCCTTAATCGCCTCTTTGGGCAAGTTGAACCTGCAAGATTTGATCAACCAGCTTGAACCCCTCCTTGCCACGCTTAGCCAGATCGACCTTGCCGGCTTGCTGGATTCACTTAAGCCGCTCTTAACGAAAGACAGCATCAACGGAATCGCCGGGCTGCTAGGTAATGCCGAAAAGCTGCTTACAGGCGAGTTTGTGGATGAGACACAGACCCTAATCAAGAGTGCGACGCCATTAGTTTCCTCCTTGGGTAAACTAACCCTTCAAGACTTGTTTAAGCAGCTTGGGCCTCTCCTAGCAACTCTTGGGCAGATCGACCTTGCCGGCTTATTGAATGCTCTGAAACCACTCTTAACTGAAGACAGTATCAAGGGAATAGTCGGGCTACTAGGCAATGCTGAAAAATTACTTACAGGCGAGTTCGTGGACGAAACACAGACTCTGATCAAGGGTGCGGCGCCACTGATTTCTTCCTTGGGCAAGCTGAATCTGCAAGACTTGATCAACCAGCTAGGACCTCTACTCAATACGCTTGGGAAGATAGACTTGGAAGGCATCTTGGAAGCTCTCAGCCCATTATTGACCAAGGAGAGTATTCAGGGTATTGTTGGCTTGGTTAGCAACGCCGAGGATCTGCTGACCGGAAAATTCGTTAACCAAACCCATACGCTTATTGATGGAGCTGTCCCTCTTGTGGGTGCCCTTGGCACGATCGACCTGCCTGGCCTCATTACCAAGTTGAAACCGTTACTGGACGCTCTTGGCGAGATTGATCTTGGCAAGCTTATCAAGCAGGTCACACCCATCCTCAATGCTCTGGGCGAGGTTGACCTGAAGGGCATCTTCGACACTCTTGCTCCGTTCCTCACACCCAAGACTGTACAAGGCCTCATTGGCCTCTTGGCCAACGCCGAAGCACTCTTGACCGGCCAATTCGTCAACGAAACGCAGACACTTATTCATGGAGCGGCACCACTCATCGCAGACTTGGAAGGCGCTGACATCTCAGGACTCTTGAAGCAAGTCAAACCTCTTCTCAACTCGCTCAGCAAGATTGACCTGGCCGGGCTGGTCGACGCTGTGAAGCCCATCCTAGACGCAGTCAAGAAGATCGACATCGAAGGCATTGTGGACACTGTCACTCCACTCATCACCCCCAAGAGCATCAAGGGTATCTTGGGCTTGCTTGGAAACGCAGAACAACTTCTGACCGAGACGTTTGTATCCCAAACAACCGAATTGATTGGCGATGCAACACCTGTAAGCAAATCCCCTCCTTCCCATTCATCTAGAACCACCCCACTAACTCGGACAAATAGCTTGTGGCTACAATTTCAGATTTTGTTAAAGCGATTTTCCAGTCATTAATGGGACAGAATTAAGCGTACGGGGTTCACAATTTCTGAGAGCGACCATAAATAAGCGGCTCTTTTAATGATACGTGATATTTATACATGAACATAATGAGGACATCATGACATTGCAGAAGGGAGTGGCATTTATTTAGAAGAAGCAATGAGTACATGTCGTATATATCTGAATACTAATGTTAGACTATATTCTCCGGGTGTATACGAAACCAGGAATTTGCTCTCTTTGAGTGATGTGCATACTATTTTGTATGCTTGCAGCTTATTTTGCAAAGGAAGTGTAGAAATTGTACAGAAATCACGGATTGTTTTTGTTCTTAAGTTCCAGTGGCCTGCCGTATCGTCTCCCATCGGCGCCCGCTTGCTTCGTGGGGACTCAAATGCAAGTCTTCGCCAAAGTCTACAGGCTACATCCCGAGGATTGATTCCCCGAACGCCATTACTTAGTCTTTAAGAAAAATACTGAAATGTTCTGTGTCTGAATTATGGAGCCGATAGATAAGAGCTCGTAGGCTTTATGTTGTGGGAAATATTGTAATCTTGTCACATAAATCAGCTTCCTGGAACAGTAAGGACTCCTTGACGTTACCGGCCCATGGAGTAAAACCGCAGTAAGTGCTACCGTCCGCCGAATGGGACTGTACTGAGTTCGTTAAGTAATCTCTTTACTTGGTATCAATTACCTTGGTAACCTTTCCATGCCGCGTTTCACATTTTGTATTACTCAAGTATCGATTCAGAGCTATATTTGGAGGCCAAGGGGAAAGATTTGATCTGTTTAGCGGATTTTGCCTGTAACTCTGCTTTGTCCCTTCTCCATGTTCGCCTGGGTTGTGATGCGACTCAGCCTCTGACACGGCTGTGCAGCAATTTGAAATGGGCTCTGTTTGGTCTAGTTTCGAAAAAGTCGTGGACACCGTATTGGAAAACAGGATTTGCGCTGTAATTGCTGCGCCGAAAGCTGTTTATTGGCTAAAGAATACTATGCATGGCCGCAAAGTCAGGGCCAGCTACATATTGGACACCTTTTTGACTTCTGTAAAGATCCATTTGTCTACTCATGTTCACCTTGTAAAGTTTAATATTGTCCCGCAAGTTCCTCAATGCGTTCAGATTTCCTTCATAAGCTAGTTGGCCTCGACGTTTACGGATACAGAAGGACCAACAGTAAGTACGGCAAATACACATTTAATCACATACATCTCTCCAAATGTTCAAAGGCTTCGACCCAAGGAGGAACTAATGTCCAAGAATGAGCATCACATACCCTAGCTTTACAGTCTGGATGCAGCTCAACTGCACCACCAGAATCCTTGCAAAGCAGCTGCTTCTCCGACGGCCAGTGCAGCTTAATGGACCGCATGTGTAGATCCACGGAATGACGCGAGTCCTTGTTCTGGTTCTGGCATAGAGAGTCTCGTAAAGCAGGCCACGGTAAGAAGTCAATACAAATAGGATGCAGATGTGTATTCTGCACTTCAGTTGGCGGCATTAGTATAGGCACGTCGTCGTACCAGTCCGGATTTGGATACAGGCACCACTAGTGAAATGAAGGATTTAGTAGTTTGAGGAGTTACACACTCAAGCTCAGTAATATAGCACGTCGAATGGGTAAGTTTGCGACAATAGTGGAGAGTCTTACCCGCAATAATCGGTAGACCAAGAAGTATAAGCCACAGAGAGTTTCCACGTTTTGAGCTCGGAACTGTCTTAAAGTAGTGCCAATGAAGATGGTGAGAGGGCTGTTGTTGGTAGAGTGTAAGGGCCTACATTGTTGGGTTGCGCGTAATAGACAATGCAAACAACGGGCTCTGTGATAGAGCCTTGTGAGACTCATACGACACAGTAAAGCTTTTCAGTTCCAGGCATTCTGACTGATCGCCATGTTGTAAGCCACATCGATAATCGACTACCCGTTGGCAACTAAGTGGGCTAGCCACTTAATAAAAATACATGACGTAACAGTGAAGATACGGAGCAAATGGTCAAGTATTAGGCCACACAGTCACTTACAGAGACAGGCGGGTCGTTCTCCGATGGGCTAGACTGCAGTTGCTCGTGACGTGAATACTGGTGAGAAAATTGGCTAATACTGGCTGCTGCAGCCTCGGGAAGCGCATGCTGGCACCTGGGGCCTGTCGTATCTGAACCAGAAGGTCACTTATACTGGCCCCAAGAAATGATACGTCTCCTTAATTTTCTCGACCGCGTTTTACTTTCAGCACGGTTCGATCTGTGTTTGAGTTCATCCGCTTGCCGTTTCTGTGCCAGCTGTGCATCAGTTCAAGACCGCTTTGCAGAAGGCTCAGCGGCTTTGGCTGGAGGCAGGGCAACGGGGCAATCGGAGAAGCACACAATTCGCCAACATGGATTAGCAAGGGAATTGTGGTCCGCCGCGTGGCTGGGTGACAATTCGCCTTGAAGAGGAGAAGCAGCATAAGTGGATGCAATGGACGGAGTAGACCGTGGTTATCATGGCCAACCCGAGGACACGAAAAGCAGCCGGGGTGGCGACTACGAGTTTGCATGGAGGGCTGCAGTCAACTATATTCCGCGAGGAAATACGGGGTAATCCTACCAGACCCTTGCTTTTTGAAATCATGCGGGGTAATGCGGGGGAAGAAACATCTCCAAATATGCCCATGACCGAATGCAAATCTGTCCAGGCTTCCCGGGGAACGGACAGACGGCGCAACTTTTGTAGTTGGAGTTCCTTTCCTCTTCAACCACTCGCGAGCCCATGTTGACTCCACATCAACAAGGTGACAGCATGGCTGCCGGATGTAATGCGGTCAAGACGAGGAGATCTCGGCCAGCCCAACGCGCGGTTAGCTAACTCGTGACTATCCATGATGTGAAGCTAAGAAGCCGCGGCCCCGATTAGATCGTGTCTTACAAATAACGTACAGTAAAGATAGCAGCATAACTAGCATGATATGCGACAGAGATGATATGAGTCTTTCGTCTCTCTTCCCCGGAGCAACGGTTCAGGATGCACAATGCACATGACCAAAAGTTGACTGCCGGCTCTGGTACGCAGTTTGTCGTTTACTACTCGGCATATGACCAGATCGCAACGCATGCTCGTATAGCTTATCCAGTGTGACCAGCCGTACCTAAAATTAAGGCTCTTGGCGACGTTGCCTTCCCAGTGGCTATCCAGTCACCGAACCCAACGGCAAACAAAGCCACCCTGGAATGGGGCACTAACTCGACGCGTGACAACTTTGCCGCTAGCTGAAAGCCAGTTCCTAGAAGATGAGAAAGATCAAAAATTGCCACAGCACGTTGTGGGCGCCACGCTGCAACTTGAAGCCCACCCAACGCAGGGACTCAAACTCTATGCTCCGCATCTACTACAAGCAGCCCAACCTCTCTCTCCACAGCCGGCCGACTGTTATGGACACTACCCTGCGTTGACATGGGGGTGACATGGTGGGAAGCGATTGGCCACTCCCGGGCCTCCCGCATAGCATGGTGTTGATGATCTCGACATGCCTGCTTGTAAACCAATCATCATGAGTGGCGAGTACTGTATATCGGGCAAAGATGCCATCTTGAAAAATTGGTGAGCCCGGACCTCAAGGTCCATTACAATGATCCTATGCCGTCAACTCCATTTCGCTACGCCTGCCTGTTTTGGGAAGCCGTCATACTCACATACCTACCAATCAAGAGGCGTTCTATTGGCTCCGGAGTCGTCAGCTAGACAAGGTTGACTTGATATTTGCCTCGGCAAGGAGTGCTGATCACAAGCTACCACAGTTTGCGACATTGCTGCGTGATGCCGTCCTCCTTGCAATTTAAGGACGTTTAAGGCGTTCGCATACACTTAATGTTATTATTATTTCCAAAGAACTGTGTAAATTCAGCTAAAATCACACTTATTAATTAACTTATTTAAAAAAAAAAAGGGGGGGGGGGGGGGGGGGGGCTAAATGGAGGGCATCTAGTAACACTGTATTTTGGCCGTACCTAGGCCAGGGAACCGTAACTAACCACACAAGACACCATAAGTACACGCATCGCGATGCGTTAGACACACTAGCCGAGTGGTGATTCATTACAGCGCTAAAAAGCACACCTATGTCGCAAAGAATTACGTAGAACTAAATTATATTAGTAATCGTATATTTTTTGACACGTAGCCAAGTGGCTTTGGCATTTATCTCTAGTTACAATATATCCATTGTTAAAGTAGGAATGCATTTTCAAGGTAAATCCATGCATTAAATTATCAAGCGCCCCTATTTAAAAGAGATAATATGTATTTTTGCGCATAAAGACTAGGAACTCAAAGGTATAGCTCTGCGAGGTCTCTACTGCGTGATCTAGAAATAAAAACTCCTCTCAAGTTAACACAAATAGAATCGTTTTAGGGTAGCCTTGGTTGTACGAAATACAGTATTAGTATAAATTCTCATCTTGAAGGGGCTTATTTTTAAGAGGGTATTACTGGTATTGCTTCTTGGAAATAGTCATAACTAATATAATGGATAAATCTATTTTCTTGAATTTGAGTTCTATTGAACGTTAGCTTTCAGTTGAAACCACTTGATATTAGAGTAATTACTTACAATACAGCATTCGCCTCCTCTTAATACGAATTCGTAGATCGAGGTGGCGGATTATTCTCATCTTGTCTGTCTGAATCGTGTCTGACTTGAAAGTCGTTACATCGATATGCCGAGGAATCTTCAGTAACGAATGTGCGGTTTTATTCAAGGGCCTTCGTGTTCACGCTGAATCTCGTGGTATACCCTAGCGCTATTATTGTCAGACAATTTAAATTCAAGCACTAACTTATTTGAACGGGGATATAAGCTTTTCAATCCCTGGTGACTTTTCCCGCGGCCCAAGCATCCGACTCTTCGTCTTATAGTTCTGGAAACGACTCACTATCGGCTGAGGCATAAAAGATCGATCAGAAGTCGCTTTTCAGAGAAGCCATAGTTGCCGGAAATCCCGTCTGACCAGCTCTCAAGGACGACAAGGCTTCTGCCAATTATTACGCCTCTTCAAGTTACAGCGCGAGCTCCCATACGGGACGAACCGTCGGTTAACTAATCAACTTGCAACAAAGGCGCGCCCCTTTGAATTAGTAGGCACGTCATAAACTAACTATAAGCGGTGCTCTAAAGACTCTCGAGAAGAAAAACCAGATGCATCAGTCGTTGAACAAGCAGCATCCGCAGGCCATACAGCGCGCTGGTTAGAGATCAGCCGGCTGATTGATGAATTTGAATTGTAGGCTGTTAGTTGACAAATTGTAGGGGTCAGACTATCCTAAGTGAGAGAGCTCTCGCCTGGACACCTTTTTTGTGAAGTCATCGTAGTTTACTTACAGGCTTAGGGATAAAATCCCTGGACTTACGAAGGGAATTTGGCAACGTTAAACTCCCTATATTTATACTGCGTTAGCTGTGGAACTTCGCGAGCTGTATAAAGACTAACTAAATCACGCGAAGAGCTTGCATCTAGCCCTTGATTTTCCATTGACCAGTCTAGCAGAAGATACTTTCGTCGTTGCGTCGAATGGCTCCTACAAGATACATGTCAGCTAAAGCTATCCAATGTGGCATTTCTCAAAGTGATATGCACGAAGGTTTTTACTATGATTACCATCCCGCCGAGGGTTGGGATTATGCCAAAGAGATTCGTAATACCAAGTATGCTTGCAAACTTCAAGAATTGCCATGGCGGTGGTCATGGACTTGAAGACCTGAAGATGGATATCGAGATGCGTAATAGTGTATATTAGAAGCTTATAGCTTGTGGTTATGAGGACTAATCAATAGTAATAGGTAGGGGTAGTATAACCCCTTCTCCATGTTGGAGAGGATACCAAATTGAGAGCCTCCTCATGACTTGGATGAGCTGATATGCATGAGTGAGGCTACATTTAAGACTTTCTGTAAACGTCTTTTAAGCCCATGGTAATGTCAGCCTACGTCGAGTAAACATTGAATGGGTGCAATTGCATTTTATAGACGAACCAAACTTTTCCCGTAGCTGGCTGGCGTTAAACAACTCACAGTTGCGGGTCGAAAATCATGGTAAATATTAAAATTCATTCCAGATTTACCGTACAAATCCTACAGTCTTCTCGGATAGGCTCGAAGCGGGAGGCGTCTATCAACTATTTGCTATTGTCTGATGGTGGATTGATCTCAGACATGGCTTCTCCGCTTGCATGCCGTCCACGATTTATCCTATAACTGGTGAAGATGCAAATCTTGACTCTGCAACCGTTAGGCGTCTGAGTCACTTGACTCGGCCTGTCTTTTTACATCTCCATCTCTCATAGGTTATGTTTGAAACTTCAGTAGACGAAATCCTTGGTGAACTGTCACGTATTTACGTCTGAACAAATGAGGAGCAGGGCAATCAACACCCGCCGCCTAGGAAGCACCGGAGACTCCTGAACTACGGAAAAGACCTCGTCTGTTTTAATCATTCCTAGATGAAAGGCTTCTTCACACCTAAGTTGACAGCTCTTACCGGACAACATAGCCGGACTCCTATGTTGTCGAGGGCCTACGCCTATACGCCCAGCGGGGACAGGAATCCTTTCAGTTTGAAAAGGGCGATGAATAGGGGTGCTACATCAAATTAATACGGGTGCTGCGCTCTTGCAGCTTCCTATTGGTCCACAGAAGACCGTTGGGGGTGCAAATAGTACGCACCAAATTCTGTCGCGTCGTCCACATACCACATGCAACGAGTACTGACAGCCCGGGCTCATTGCCCGGCCTCATTGACACAGCACACCTTGTTTCGAGGCAACTGATACTTGGGTAACTTCTCGATAGATATTTGGGCACCCCATGGTACATAGCAATGCCAGCCATTTCCCTATTTGATGATTTGCTATATCGGGTGCGCCGGTTAACTTATGTAGCTTTTCAACTAATAGAAAGCTGTCAAAAGTGTCAACTTAACACCAGTATAGAACGCAGGTCCCAAAGTTTTCATTAAACTGTGACAGTTCAACTCATAAGGATATCATGTCTCAGGGTTCCTTGCTTTTAGCGGATAGTATTTCATGATTAAAAAGAAGTTCCAAAAACTTGAGGCGGCTGCGAGAAAGATGTCAAAGATATATTTCGCTGGCCCCACCACGCCAACTGAATTCATAAACAAGAAATGATGTATGTCGAAAGGTGTATGCAGAGTGCCTTCGGGACGTTCGAATCAGTCCAGGAACAGGAGTTGTGCGTAAAGTTGCTAGCAAAAAGGACTGTACCAGCGCCTTGATTTACTTGCAGCAAAATATATCCCAGGTCTAGAGCCGCAGTCCTTTTGAGTGTGCAGCTTAGTCCACCCCTCAGGGAGACAATGTGAAACCAGCTGCTGCACCTAAATAGCTGAAAGAGGAGATGTCATTCTACAAGGGTTTGGGAACGATACTACGTATTCCGAATAGGGGAACCGTCACGACTTGGCTTCGAATACTACTGTCGGATAAAACAGCCTCTGTTAGTTGAGACACGCAAGGGCTGTTGTCCACTCGAGTGGCAAGTGGTAACGGTAGTCGTAGGGTAAAAGCAGGGCATATTGAAGGTAGCGAATACTCTGAGTCTCTAGTGTGTAGAGCAAAAGCAAACATAGTAATAACAACGGGTGTAATGAATAAGAGTAAGTTAACATCAATTCCCATAACGTGACAGTTTTGTCCCATATGCGATATGGAGGAATAACGCCATTTTTTGCTAAACGGGCGCAATAAGAAGTCCTGACGGGAAAATTTGTGGAAGGAAGGGAATTACACAAATGACAATGAATACCAAAGAACTAGGCATCGAAATGACCACTTACGGCTCGTACTTTTCCTTATCCGCATACTTCTACTCGCTGTTGTAGTAGTTGATGTAATAGCTATGAAATGCCAACAGCAACCATTAGATCCGTCTCCAGCTACTTGTCGAATCACAAGTGATTTTGCTACTCTCTACTCATAGTAGTCATAATATTCGTATATAAACGGTTTAAAATATCTAGATATGCGACTTTATACATTAACCATTCCATGGTAGTCAACGCCTGGTGCGCCGTCAGTCTTTGTTGACCACGCAATGTTCGATTTGACACTGTCATTAAATGCCGTCGCCAGTTTCTGTGCAATTTCCGTGGAGATGGTGAGCTTGGGAACAGAATTTGGTCGCAGGATTTGAGTCATGATCTGCGCCCATTTCCAAGGCTCGTCAGTACCGCCAGGGGCACTGTTGAAATACTCCCAGCCCATTACGCCTCCAATCTGACCGTATGTACTCCTCAACGATATGACAGTCGCATTGAGCTGTTCATACGGGATGTATCCATAACCACCTTCAGGGGAGGTAAGCTGTCCAGCAACAACCCGAGAGGCGCTGAAACCGCTTGATACGATCCCGTTGTAGTCGGTCGTGCGTGACATAGTGCCAAAGCCGCTGTAGAACTGACCATTGTAAAAATTGATATTGGAACCTTTGCGTGAGTCAAGAAGCTTGTAGTCGAAGCCACTGAGGTTTCCCCCGCCTGAAAGAGCAGAGGCCACCGGTGCCAATGTAATAATAAAGTTGGGCCCAAAGTCGGACTGAAGTTTGTCAACCAAGCGCTCAATGCCAGCCTGGCTCATGGGCTGTTCAACGTCAATATCCAAGCCTTGCAGCTTGAACTTTCTGATTACATCACGCAGCTGGCCGTAATACTTGTTGAACGTGGCCTTGTCGCCGTCCAAGGTGCCTGAGCCGAATGAACCGGGGGCCGCGCCGCCAACCATTCCCATAATCTTGACGCCAGCATTCTTCATAACTGCAGTTTCATTCCACAGCGTGTAGAACATGGGGTTGCTAGGAGGATAGTCGTTCAAATGGATCTGACCATTTTCGTTTACGTGTAATGAGCAAACAATGAGGTGTGTAAGCGCAATGCCTTTTTCGTTGATCAATGGTAGCATTGAGATGGGCCTTCCACTAGAGTCATGTGTGGTTTGAAAGTAGACGACGAGTCGAGGGAGTTCATCAACCGCTCGAACGACTTGATGAATGGGGGATGCAAGAGACACGGCGGCTAGAGCCGCGATCAAACATGACTTCAACAACATGTTTGCGATAGATCAAAGGTCCCGCTTGTATAGCAACGATCTATAACACGGGTTATATGTATTGAAATGTCAAAATGACATTAGAAAAGGACAAACGCGGCCTCCCTTTCTCGGCCGACATTTACCGTGGGCAGGACAATGAAATTCCCTGGTCGAGTTCCAGGGACCGCGCAAGGTTTTATCCCTTTTTGCTGCCATGACGTCCTGCAAATGTCTCGGGTTCCATCATTCCTGCATCAACAGATGTGAAGAGGCGTCTCCACGTCGCCCTTGTCAAGTGATGCGGGAGGTCATCAGAACTGTGCATGGACTAGGAGCCCAAAGCCCGACTGACTGTGCCTTAAACAAGCAGGTAAGGGAAGTTCACAGACGTGCGGGGGAAAATTGGCACTTTGACTTGCAACCACAAAAACGCAGTAGTCACATCGGGCCCGATTAGGCGGAAACTAGCTGTCGAGCACGACCGGCGATGATCGGCGTTTTGCTGGTGGTGAGACACCAGTAAGTCACGCTAAATTTGGACTATATTTCGGATGACAGAATTCATGACAACTAATCATGCGTTCTTTCAGTCATGCGGCGAAAACATGGCTCATCATGTGTCCCTGTTCACGCAAGGCAACGTAGTAGCAAAAGACATTATCGTCCATGTATGACCCTGCAACCCAATTAGAACACAGTCGCTGATAATGAAGTTGTTCATTGTGAAGCAATGCCTTTGAGCAGTTGCAACCTGCCGAAATATGACTAGTGTCGGCATCTAACGTTGGTGTTGGTGTTGGTGCATGGTCTCGTGCGCGTCGCCAAGGGGCGGGAGACGTCTTATTGCAGCAGGAGTTTAAAAGTCGATGCGTATCTGCTTGAGCCTAGAACAACCAGAACAGCCGCTGCAGGTAGATAGACCACCAGTGCCTGCACCAGTGATGTTGCAACCCATCAACTCGAGATGATTGCATGTCATCCCTCTACACAGGCCATCTATTTCCACCACTCCTGCGGCAGGCCGAAAACAGCGACCTTCTTTCTTGACAGCATGGTCCCGCTCGACATTTTGACAATGGCATCAGTTGCAGTATCGCACGGCATATGAGTGTGTGCTATTGGCAAGGTACCAGCGTTGAACTTGCTTCATTCGGCGTAGTTGACGTTGATGCCGCGCATCTCATCTGCCCGTCGCTGATTTTGGCAATGACTTGCCACGTCGCCGCTTCGTCCAAGTCGCCACGGTGTATTCAATATTCAACGCTCCCGGTCGAAAAACCCGCCCAGGCGACGCCGCTCACGGCGTCTACGGGTCCTATCGGTTTTGGATAGCTTGCCAAACGGATGCGAAGAAGTTCGGGAAAACTTCATCAATCATGGCTACCAAGCGCCTCGGCTGTCTCGGCTATGGTGATGGTATTGGCGGGAGCTACAGCATGCTCGTCTCATGATGCATCTTGGGCGAGTCAACATGTCAACGGTTGACTAATGGACACAGTCTGCTTTTCTCGGCCGATTTGACAAGTGCAGACCGCATCATCTTGTCTGCCAGTTAGTTAAGGATGCAGCTCCCCACCGACCGAGGCATACCATTAATAATCTCTTTATTCCACACCCAAAGTACATGGGGCAGTCTGACCAGTTAGTTGACAAAACTTGGCCACCAGACAAACACAGTCTAACGATTTCCAGAGTCCAAGAAACGCAGCAACCCTCTTGTTGTCGGCCCGCCTTGACGCCCATGTGCGGTGAGGGCGCAAGTCTCCGATGCGATGCGACATAGAGCAATGTCTGGCACTTCCTGGCCCGCCAGAAGGTCAAGTACCAGTTGAATGCATTCAATGTCAAGTCTAGTGGTATTTGCCCTCGGCTGCTCCCTTGAAAATGACTGCATCAAAACCCCACAGTGGAAGCGGCGCTGCAGCCTTTGGTGGCAATCCCTCTCTGTCTACTTGAGACAACGGCATACATGTTCTATCTTGTAGCAACGCTCCCCATTAACTAAAGGAAGAGGACGTGGTCAATCTTCACTTGGACCAATGCTTGCGAAGCACGAGGATGGGTGAAAGCACATACTTGAAACGACTTTGGCCAAACTCCAAGACCAGTTTGGTCAATTGTACCAAGGATGTATCATGTGCGAGAGGTACCTAGGTAGTTAGTCGACAGGTACCCTCACAGTTCAGCTGTGGCTGACTAGAGTGTATTGACGGGTTATAAGAAGGATAGCCCGACCCTTCCGTCCGATGCGCCCTCAAAACCCCCTTTCCATGACCAAAACGATATTAGCAGTCTAGCACCACCTTACAGTCTACCACAGCAGTCTGTCCATCCAACACTTTTGCAACAGCTTGCTCAAGTATTGACTCAAGATCATCCGCCTTGCTCGCCCTGAACGGGTGGATGTTGCCACTTCCCGCGGCAGCCGCAATGCCTGCGTAATCTGGTGAAGGGGAAAAGGAAATGTTGATGTCCTCGTTTGTCGCCGTTGCCGTCTCTCCGTCGGGGTGAACCAACACGTAGGATTTTCGTGGCGCATTCCAGCCTACGTTTCTGCTATTAGCCTGGGGGCTTGTTCACTCTTGAGTCTTGACAAACAGGCTGAAGCTTACCATCATTGTTCAGAACGATAGTCAATACTGGAATACTATATCGCTTAGATATCCAGTATACACTTCCCGGCATTGAGAAGAGATATGTGCCGTCCCCAACTATTTGACACACAAATTTACCCTTTCCGGTTCCGCCAGCTTGAGAGTCAGTTGCTAATTTGATCCCCAATGCACCGCCCCCGGACCAGCCCAGCCCACCACCACCGCAATTGATCCATGATCCTGGCACCGCGGGCTGGATGTTGTCATGAATAAAGGTCGTGTTTGTCACGGCTTCTACGGCCCATATTGTCTCATCTGGACAAACCCGACGGAGAACACTGCTCAAGTAACCTGTGCCGAAACTACCGCTGGCAAAGGGCCTGGCTGCATGAGCTATTTTCGACAGAAACTTGGAGTGTGAAGCATTCCGTAATTCTTCAGTCGCCGCAGTGTCCCTTTCAGCGAGTACTCTAGCTGCCTGGCCTCCCGTAAGCTCCCGAAGGATCTGTTCCAGTGCGATTAGGGCATCCGCTCGATACCGTGCCTGAGACGGGATGTAGAAGAGCGGCATTTGTTGCTTGAGGGGGTCAACATCAATGTGGAATATCGTTGCGTCTTTTTTCGGGCGACATCTCGTCGGGATCCAGGGCACGTCACAATCCAAGACCACGATCACATCTGCTTCTTCAATGGCTCCGTGCGCCCCTATTCTCATGCCGAGCCACGCCGGATGGTTGGCAGGAAAACACATGTCGCTGCCAGATGCATCTAATATCCGGAGAGCCTTGACAACGTCTGCCAACTGAACCAAGACGGCCGGTATTTGCAGGTTGCGGCCGGAATATCCTGTCATAACGAGCGGTCTTTCGGCCCGGGCCAGGGCCTCGGCTATCCTGTCTGCGCTCCTCTGAGACAGGCCGCCCAACTCCACGGGATCCCACTGATCCTGCTGGATTTCGTACGGCTCGAGGTCGGCTTCCAGGACTTCTCGTGTTGCGCAAAGGTATACCGGGCCTTGGGGGCCACTTGTAGCAAACTGAAGAGCACGGTTGACCATTTGCTTGATGTTCGCCCCCGTCTTGATCTCTGCCGCGTATCGGCAATACTGTCCAAGGATAGCCTTCTGATCAGGAATATCTTGAAGCCAATGAATGAATTCTGTCCGAGAACCACGCAGCTCGCCCTCTAAGGTGCAAGGCGACATGCCCGCAAAAACGAGGACTGGAGCGCGACCTACAGATGCATTATGAACGGCCACGCCCAGAGCCTGCGTGCCAACATCCACATGCACGATTACGCATTGTGGCTTTCCTGTAACCCGTGCAAATCCATCCGCCATTGACATTGCCACCATCTAGAAATTCGTGTCAGTTTCTCAAGCCCCGTCATCCAGAGAAAACAGGGTATACCTCGCTCGGGCAAGTGACGATACGCGGAAAGCAATCGCCCTTCTCCCTTTGACCCTTGAGCATTGCTTCGATGATACTCGGGTGATCTGAACCCAAGTTGACGAAGCAGTGCGTTACCCCGGCCCCGCAAAGGGCATCGAAGAAAGCAAACGATGCCGTGTACATGATGGGCTGACGGTGGGGAATTCACGCGACGAGAATCAAGGGTAAATGGCCAGTAAAAGACCATCGATATGCCAGAATGAAGGAATTACAATGCGAGTTTTCCGGGATTCTTGTCGTATTTCTATTACTGGCTCTACGACCTACTTGTCAGGTCAATTGCTCTCTTCTTCTCCACCAGCACATCAGCCGGTCTTGGTAGCCGAGTGTGATTTAGGGCCAGGGTTGTGAGCTCCCGTTCTTGTTAGGCTAAAGACGGCTCGGAGCCAGAGTTTCCCCTCTTCGCCCCGTTTTCTAATGCTCAAGAGCTCCGATGTTGAGTCGGAACTTGCGGGATTGTTTTCCGAGCCGGCACTCATGGCTGATCTGGAGATGGAATTAATTGCGAACGAGCCGTAACCTTCATATCTACAGAGTAAATTGGAACCTTGGGTGCCAATCGCCAAGGTTGGGTTTCGCGTCTTCTGGCAAAGCAAGCCTGTCGTCTCTGGGCCCGGCAGCTCTTTTGCTGTTCGCCCTCCGCGTGAGTACAAACATGACAAAAGCGGCAAATATTCCAACCCGCATTAGCTGTCAATTGCTCGGGGCGCTCATCCATTCTGCTCGGGGCACTTACACCTTAGCACGCTTTAATTTTTGTGCGATTAACTCTATTTTTTAATCTTAATTATATATTTATTAAGGTATTTTTGTTTTTTTTAATTTAAATAGTAATATACCCTATAGGTTTTATACAAGTATATTTAATAATACTATGTACTAGCTATAGTAGGCTAGAGAACTGTAATATACTACGTAATATATTATAAACGCGTTATAATTTTATAATACGCTAAATACTAGTAAAATTAATACGTTATTACTATACGCTATTAAAAGCTATCTTATAAATTTAATAGCTTTAACTATTAATTAAATAAAAGTGAATTTAACATATTAAAAACTTAAACTTAATTATAATTTATACTAGTAACTAGAGCATTAATTATAGTGTAGTTTTATAGTTTTGTAGTTTTTATAGTTTCAAATATCAAAAATTATATTAAATCTAATAAAATACTTATAAGATTATAAGTTTTACAGATAAATAGTATAAATCTTATACTATAAGCTAACATAAAAAAGTGGGTCTTTGTAAGCTCTTATAAGCCTAGAACTATAAAAACTATAAAATGTAGTTTTTATAGTATAGTATAGTATAGAGCTTATAAGGACCCACTTTTTTATGTT